TCTTAAGCAAGACGCAGTACGAGTGAAGTATCGAAAGGGAACTAGTAACGTTACGCCATGATATTAAGCACGCATGCATTGTGCACAAACCGCCATTTTCCGTTAGCAGTAAACGACATATCCTAAACAAATTAAGTGTTTGCAATAGGCTAACTGAATGGGTTTCATGTTTTACATATGAAACGTCGACGCAGAATATCTTATTCTCTCTGTTTCTATTTCTAATCAATAGCCATCTTATGTGAAAGCGAAACTAACAGCGCAGAGCACGCGGAAGGAGTAGGAGAACAAATGTAGACCTATAAATGTCTAATACACGTGAGATAGGCCCTCATTAAAAAAAAAAAAATTAATAAATAAAATAAAGACATCGACTTGACTTATTCGTATCCTGCAATACAAGCAATCAAAATCAACAAAAGAGCAACAGTATAAGTGCTGTGACAAGTCTCGTTCGTCTAAAGCAGTACATGTAGCAAGGGTTTTTATAATAAATAAAAAGTAAACAAGTAGATAGAATAGAGAATGCATTTGTTAGAGAGTCAAGTGTTTTTTTTTCTTCTTTTTTACGCATTACATATAAGTGGTTTACATATTATTAATATATTACATATTTACATATTAACACTGTGTTTGCAGAAATCACACATTGTCACTGCTTTTATGATGTGTCTGATTTAGGCTACTGTATTGATTTGACCAAAAAAAAAACAGAATAAAAAGTTACATGACTATTTATTTGGAACGGATTAGATTAGTCAGAAAAAAAGTGCAAAAGCTTTCTCTGGGACAATTTCAAAAGAACCATTGTGCCTTATTTACCCCTAAAGGGTGAGTAACTGTAAAAAAATGATATATGGGGTTATACTCTAATAGGAAGAACGATCATGTGTTTACTTGTGTTTTCTCAATCGCAGCACCAATGGCATCATCCAGTCTTCCCCGACGACGCAACAGCATCGATATACCTCCTGACATGTAAGAATAGATCATGTGTTTACTTGTTTTCTCAATCGCAGCACCAATGGCATCATCCAGTCTTCCCCGACGACGCAACAGCATCGATATACCTCCTGACATGTAAGAATTATGTAATTAATTCAAAGAATCAGAATATTTGGGTCTTTAACCACAGTGTGATTATTATATTAAAGGCAATATTAAAAATATATATCTCCTGAACTTGTGCATGTAAGCAAGAATCAAGAGTATAGCAAGAAGTGTCTTTAAGTGTTAACTGAAACTCATCTGCTTATCAACTAAATTGTATTGCAAATCACAGTCTGAATAAACTCGTCATCTTTCTTTTCTCTAGAGCTGATGTTTTTCGACTCAGAGATGAATTTATTAAACTCTATGAGAGAGATCAACCCCAGCTCCAGCAGTGCATAGAGAAACTACAAAATATCATCAAAACATTTGAAACAGATTTCAGAGGTTCTACTGAAGGATCTAGAAAAGCAGGAGTGGCGGGGATCATTGGAGGGGCTGCCATAGTTGCAGGATTAGCTTTAGCTCCATGTACTCTGGGAGCTTCTGCTGTTATTGCTGCTGCTGCTACTGGTGTTGCAGGAGCAGGAGCAGCGACTCTCGCAGGCGCTGGAATTACAAGTAAGATCTGCGGCTCTAACAAAAAGGAGCAGATGAAAGCATTAAGAAAAGGCATTGAAGATAAACTGAAGGAATTTCAGGTTAAAATCAACCCTATGGCTGAAAAGATTGAAGACATTCACGAGCGTACTGAGAAAATATTGAGACACTTTAAAAAACTAGAGCAAGGTGCAAATGACTTGAGTAAATATTTTGACAGCAGTAACATACAGCCAGAAGACCTTGCTGGACTGACAGTGCAGATGATGCAAAGTATGGGTTTGCTTGCAACAATAGCAAAGATTTTTGGTGGGTTCAGCCTTGTGCTTGACATGATCTCAGTTGGTGAAAATAGCAGCGCGGTGGCTGACATGGACAAACTAGCACAAAAACCCATAGATGAAGAAGTAGATGAAAGTAAGATCAAGTCAAAAGCTGGGAAATTCATTGTTGATATCAGGAAATTAATGAATCAGTTACAGGATATCATTGATGGACTTGAGACAACAAAACACAAACTGTCAGAATTTTAGGATAAAACCTGACCAAACAATGAACAACTGAGACACAAGCTGGTAGTTGACCCTGACAGAGAGCAGATGGACTCCACCAACATCTCATTATATTGAATGATCTGAACAATCCCGCTGGTCTACAGTATATCATGCTAACAGCAAAAGTTTAAAACGTAACCGTATATAATTTAGCAGGATTTTTGCTGAAGTTAACTGATATTTGTGACATACAGAAATCCAAATATACATTTTCATTGCTTTGCTCTCCAGAATTAAATGAATTATTAGTTATTTTTTATACATGTACAATATTTTTCACGTTTCTCAAAATGTATGTATTCCAAATATAACATCTTTTAAAATGCACAAACACAAATGCATTCAATTACACCATATTAAGTAAAAAAGGGCTTTTTCAACTTTTCCTTGGCTTTTTAATATTTTGTACAGTTTTGTTGCCAGGCTACAATCTTTGTAAAACGACTAAAGAAGGTAAGCTAACATTAAATGTAAGCATATTAATGCGTTTCTATTATATGAGTTAGTAGACTGCATGTCATGTGACGGATAACATACATTTGACTTTTACATAATAACCAGTATAATTGTGTTTGAATTGTTTATGTGTTGCTTTTAATACACTGTGTACAATAGGACAAGATGTAAAAAAAAAAAAACATGTCGCTGTAAAATTGTAAATACAACCATCAACCATTAAAACATATTACTACTACAAGGTTTGATATTTTTAATAAACCATGAATACTTTGAATATATAACAAATGGAAAGTCTTCTTCTAATAGTACTGCAATTTTATTACATAAATGTGTTATATGAATAAATGGTCAAATGCAAACAGAGGTTAAAGGTGCAGAGTATTCATTAGCAGAATATTTTAGTGAACCTGCTTTTACAGTCATTAAATCTGAAAACTGTAAAACATGGTAACTTATATTCAGAGTTCAGACGTGTCCTACACGACTGCCTGTGCAGCTTGTCCTCCTCTGTGCGCTCTTTTATAACTCGTTCTGTCAATCTCCAAATAAGAGACATATAGTTTGATCACAAAACTATAAACAGAAGCAGAAGAAAAAGTCAAGTTTACAGTGAAAATTATACTGCCTTTAAAATTCACCTGAATCCTTTCACTCTCATTCAGAGCCCAACAATAATCAAAAAAATAAATACAGAAAATATTAATAATCACAAAAAAAAAAAATTATGGTACAGGTTGTTTTACAGATTTGTTTCTGTTTTTGAAATACAGAAAATATTACTACAATTAACTGAATTTACATGTCTGTTGTAAAATAACATGAAAAACCTGTAACCTGCAATATCTATATATATATCAAAATGTTCTTATTCTTGCTGAAATTTAAGTTGTTAGGATGCCACAATTTAAGATAGCAGTGAAATTCTTATTATAGTTACAAAATCTATTCAGTCGAGTGAGTGGTTTTCTTGGTTTCTTTTGTGGTTTGATTAATGTCAGAGACGGACAGACGCAGGTTTATTAGTCACTTTGACCTACTACTGCAAGACTTGTCCATCTCCTCAAAGGACAAAAGATGCATCCTTTTAAAGTTAGAAATGTATAACATTCTATTTTTAGATATAGTAAGGCATATAAACATTGTATTTCACTGTGTTGCATCTTAGTGTATACAGTAATTTATTAATGACGTGTAAATAAGTCATCAATTTATCAGAAACTGGATCAGGTGAAAAGGTTAAGGAGACATTGAAGTCAGCACGAAACGGAAGTCACCAGTCTTTTTTCTTCCCTACTGTGACGTATATCCGAGTGGAACAGGTTCTGGAATGTGGGGCGGGATTTCAACCTTCGCCGGGAGTTTGATTGACAGGCGATCTGACCAATCATAATGCCCAATCCGCCGTGTCTGACAAACAACCCAAACAGGAGAGATAAGCTGTGTCTGAAATCGCTCACTCGTTCACTCATTCACTAATCCCTACAGTGTGTGACAATTGAGTGCACTACATAGGGGATAGGGAGCAGACTCAAACACAGCTTTAGATTAACGTCAGTGGACTATAATGTTTCGTTGTCTTTCCACGGTTGAGACAACATAACTCAAACGTTCATTCATGTTAATTTCATGCTATAACTAGTAGTAAAGAGGAAGAGATGATCAGTTCACACTTGAACTGAGGCGATAGACATTTCTCGAGATTTTGTTTTTGTGCTTCTGCTTTAATATCCATGTTATTTATTGGTGCCTTTGACGGTTGTGTGTTAGCCTACTATAGGCTATTTTTCTTTAAATATCACCTTTCAAATCATTGTTTTATGTAGATTTGTTACAGCAAGATTCTCAGGAAACAGACAAAATAAAGTACCTGAATTGCTTTTCACTATTTGTTTTACTGTACAAGAGTGACAGTATCTCTTGAATGCATTTTTATATAATGAGGTTTAATGTCTGCTCTGAAAGTGAACGCCAATAACAAAATAATTTCACAACTGAGAAAAAAAAAATCATTAGTTTATGTAAAATAATATGCTTTTTTTCACTCTAGAGGGCAATTTCTAGTAAGTATAAAACACGATGCTCAGTTTTATAGGGGACGTCTCATACTAAATGCACACTTCATATGAAGCCATTTTACTGCAGTTTTCGAGATCCGAGACATTATTAAACTTTAGAGACTTTAGAGGACCCCATTTCTAAAAAGCAGAAGAAATAAATGGTCATTCTGACGTGATGGCATTTCACTAATTTCACTAATTATGATTTAAGAAAATTTTTTTGGGATTATAATGAATTCCCTGAAAGGAAACCCAAGAAAAAAACACAATGTTTGCCGTTTTAAAAGAGATGTATTACTGTCATTTTATTACTTCAGGTGATAAAAATAGCAGATAACACTTGAGATTTCAAAAATGACAAGAAAACAAATTCACAATCCCTGCACATAAAGATATAAGCAACTGATGATCAAAAGTAAAAAAACAAATTCATAAAAGTCATGTTTTCTCTCACTCGCGCTCACAAATACAGCAGAAACAGGTGGATTCAGGGACTGGATGCCGGAGCTGAACTTCTACATCTGTGTGTTCACTTAAACATTCAGATTCACAGGACGATGAAGGCCTGATGCTGATGAATATATATATTGCTTCGATGAAGTCGGGCTGTTTTTACGGCATTGATTGGCATTCAGATTCTCCATGCAGAGCGAATGTGGAACGAGCAGGAGCACAAACACACAACAATCACACTTTACCAGCATTTACTCGCTCCTGATCCTCCATCAAGCTCAAAACCTGATCATGTTTCCTCACACTGAGAAATAAATTAGTCATTTATACTGGCAGCTTCCAAAACGGACAAAAACACACTGAAAGACGTCAGAAAGCAGTCCATTTGTCTCTGATCTATATAGTATTTTTATCTCTTTGGAGTGGACAGTACCAGATCAATCATGGAATGTGTGGAAACTTGTTTCCAACTAAATAATAAAATAAAGGTAATTGAGACTTTTAATCTTACAATTCTGAGAAAAAAAGAACTGCAAGGTGTAAACTTGGAATTGCCCAGAAGTCTCTGAGTTTACATTGCAATTCTGTCAGAGAAAGTGGCTTCTTTTTTTTTCTCTATTTTATGACTTTGCATCTTGCAGTTCTGGTTTTTTTTTCCAACACGAAATTAAAAAATAAAATAAAAAAGGTGCAAACGACTTTTTATCTCAGAATTCTTAGATTTTATCTCCCAATCTGGACCTTTCTGCAACGGAATTCTTTGTTATAAACACAATTCTGAAAAAAGAAAGAATTGCGAGATATGAACTCAGAAGTCTGAACTTTTTTCCTTACAATTCTGAGTTTACATCCGCAATTTTTGGCCTTGTATCTCACAATTCAGACTCGTTTCGTCATTGTTCTGAGTTTACATCTGCCAGTTCTGACTTTTCTTCTCAGAATTGTGCAACTGCGCCAGAATTGTGAGACATAAACTCAGAATTGAGGAAAAAATTCAAATTATGACATTAAAAAGTGCATATACCTTTTTTTTTTCAACAGAACGGCTCTCGACGCTTTCTTCAGTGCACACACACACTCACTCACTCACTCACTCACTCAC